CCCCCCCCCCCCCCGAATGAGCTCCTTCACAATGGTAGTTGCATTGTGTTATGTTGTGCAGAAAGTATCTGTTAGCTCCACTGGGGTTCTTATGCAAGGACGCACTACGTGCGCGTGCACGTGTACCACAGCTGGCTACCTCTTCACCCAAATAATGACCAAATATCTACCCATACTCAGCACGTACAGATCGAATTCGGCCGCTGCTCTGTCAAGCCACATAAAAGTTGCATCAATTATTTGGCCATGAAACCTCCTCTACAAGCCTCTTCTGTGCACATGGTTTCAACTCTTCACAGCATGAAACAAAAAAGTCTATGGAACTCGACCTGGTTCACCGATTGCGATTTCATGAAATCTCCTGATGATGTTATGCGTATACTGAAGAGTTGGGTCCTTTTATGGTAATCCCTTGGAAGATTTTAGAAAGTCCCGAGAGAACCCCGGAATATCAGGTAGTTCTCAACAAGTACTTCTGTACGAGTCACTAATTCGAAAAACCCTACCTGCTTACTTTGTAAGGGTGTGAGCAAACCATTGCGTCTCCTTTTGCCTTTAGTTTTCGTGCCTGGACGGATTACTATACTCGAGAACGAATCCCATGTTCTATACGGTTCTCGGTTGCTAAGTATATCAACTTACGCTTGTCGGGGATTGTTATCACAGTTTAACAGCATGAAATTGAACCTCTTCAAAAGTGTGAGAGTTAATTCAAATGTTCAATGGATCACCTGCTTTTGCTTTTGATTTTGCCACCCAGGCTTGATAACGACCATTTCTCGTGTTTTTCGTGGGTACAGGGTGACCTACATGAAGTGTGACGCAGAAAACTAGCATAAAAATTATACAGATCAAACCAAATAGGAAACTATTACTCCTACACAATCATCACAAAATTGTAAACAACATATCACATTTCGCATGCAGAATGACCATCTTTCGCTTTAATGCAAGCATCCAACCTCTTTCGGAAGTTTTCAAGAATGCGCGCAATCACTTTCATCCCACGTTTCCACAAGAGAGCTTTTTTTTCTCAGGGTCTGAAAACCTGTGCTTGCAAGCACGGACTTTTTGCTCCAAAATCGTCCATACAGCAAAATCCAAAGGATTGAGATTGGGGAATTTAAGGTCATACCTGCTTCGCCCCAAAAACTCGGAAGCGTGGTTTCACAACATTGCAGCATCTTCTTTGCATCGTGAGCTGGTGCCCAATCCTGCGAAAGGCTTAGCTGACGTTCATCGCGTTCCTTTCCGCCCAAGAGATCACCGCATCCTCCAGTCCAGAAGCCCATAAGTTGATTTTTTTTTTTTTGTTGCCCGTCACTCTTCATGTGGGTCACCCTGTATTTGGCATCACATTCCGAGCAAGCTTGCTTAAAGGGTAATCTAGAGCCTGTCAATGTCCGTTCAGGAGCTTCTCCCTCACGCGCTCTACCTCGCGCTACTCACTTTTTCTTCCAACTTCATCTTTTCTTCCCGGCTACTAGCTTTAATCGAAGCACAACGAACATGCTGTTTTTGGTCTCTACAGTTCTGCTAACACTGTTTTCGTCGCCTTTGTTGATTTCGTTATGATTTACGTGATTTTCTGAAGGATCTGTTCAAGTATTGGGTTGACAAAAGAGTTCTTATACAATTTTTTAGATAGTCCAGTACTTTTGAACATTGATTGATACCCATGATGGGTCACTTCTGGCTATAAAACGCTTTCGATGCTCTTCATCTGAGTGTATAACGGGTGTTTGTTTTTCTGAAGTATGACCGCCATGCCTCTTTCTAAAGAGCAACTCCGGGCCATCACATATTTTGGATGATCACTGCAAGAGGGGACCTGGTGTCGACGATAAACTACTCTCGGGACGTCGCTCACCATATAGGGCTCCATCGCCGTCGGGCGAACCGGGAGGTTGGCACAGTACTGAAGCAGGGACGTTTGGATGGATCCCTTATGGCTTGACCGACAGTACACGGTACCCCGAGGTATCTATCTCTGTCGTGAAGGGGTCCACCGAAAACTTATGAATTAGTGTGAGGCACCGTCCATCTTGATTACCACTCATTCCATCTGCCCCTCGCCAAATTTTATGAAATGTGTAGAACGGTTGCCGACTCCTTCGACTTCCATGTTCCCTAGTTCTAGGATGAGAGGAGTGGTGATTCGTTTAGTTGGTTGCAAGCAATCCTTATAATATTCTTGATTCATTCGTAATGTATTATGTAGGATAAACTAAAAATAATTATAGAAATAATGTGTAAGGAAGCTCTCTTCAACCCAATATTTGTGCAACTAAATTATTTTGTGATTTCATTTCCGGGAGTCTGGTGCTGGGAAGGGGCTGAGTCACCGTCGTCTAACACGTCACCCTGATGTGCTTCTCAGCCTATTCACCACTTGCACCTTCGTTTTTTCTGTTCAGCTTTCTGTGCTGTTCGCTGCGTGAACTCACTGTCCGTTTGTTCGAGCATGCTACATATGTGTTGGCTTGGGCTTGAGTGCAGCCATTGGTGTGTGCATTTGTTCGAAATGACGGCGGTGACACAGCTAGCGCCATTGCAGCTCTGGCGACATCGCGACTACGCATTGAGCTGGCCATTTTAGCTGCCAAGTTGGCAACTCGCCAAGCAGACGTCGATGCGCTCTTCCGTGCCAATGCCGAGCTGGTGCACACCAACGTCCGTTTGCAGAACGAGCTGGATGAGACCGAAGAGAGGGCTACCACCAGTGATCAGGATATTAGGATTCGCGATTTGCAGGTATACCCATACCTAGTAAGATTAAATGTTCTCAGTTTTCCTGTGCAAATGGTCCCTCTTACGATCGGAGGTGGTCACTCGCTGTTGGGACCAGGTGACGCGCGGCGCAAATCACATTTAGGTGGATACCATACGAATAACTGGCATAACTACTATAATGACAATTATGCTGGAAGGCTAAACAATACTGTGAGAATTGAAGCTCCTTTTTCTCTTTAGAGCGTACTGAAAGTACTGCAAGCTCAATAGTTTAATCCATTCGTGATTAGTGAGCTCTATGGAATGCTGATTCACTCAAGCCGCCCAGCTTCTTTAGAGAGTGCTGAGCCGCGATCACATCACGCCATGATAATCAGCCAGTGCTCAGTTGATGTTAGTGTAAACGTGAAATAATACTGTCAAAAAATTGAGCGCTGATGATTCTATTTGCTTAAAAGGCCGAACTAATGATAATTCTGACTCTGCAGTTTAAAGCGAATAGTAGGAGTAATATTCCTAAATAATGTAAAAGTGACGAAAAAATAGCGAAAATGGGTTGAGATAAATGTAAGGTTTCAGGAAAGAAATGAAGTCAGGGTTTTGACGAGAATGTGATGATAAAAACGAGCTATCCGGATGTCATTGCGTACAGCTGACCTCATAAGCTGCCTGCATGCATGTATTCGTCCCGGCGCGTATGGTTCAACCTCTACAGTCTCTACCACACGGTGAAAACTCGTCCGCCTCTGGGTGTGTCCGTCAGTTAGGCTGGTTTTGAGAGTTCATATGTGCCTAATATAGGCTGTTTTTCGACCAACACATCTCTCGTACTTTCCTTGGGAGTCACAGGTTCATGCCAGGGAGGAATATCAGAAACCATTCTTACCGCCGCGCCGCAACACAGTTATCGGAACAGTAGCTGATTAACAGATTCGAATCCTTTTTCGATTCAAACAGTGAAATTGATTAAATCCTTCTAGTAAGTTATGATATAGTAACATTTAAGGCCGAATTGTCTGCGTCGCGAAACAATGAAGAGTCACTCAGACGGCAACTGGAAGAAGTTAGATCCATTCTCAACGAAACAGAGCAGAAACTCGAAGAATTTGCTTCTGAGAAGGATAGGTCCAGTCGGCAGGCTGATGTGCAGCTACAGACACGAGAGCAACCTGAGGTAACTTGCATTAGAACATTTTTAGCAAAAAGTCATATTATATACCTTCTAAGCCTTCATATGAAAGATAAGGCGCTAAGGTGTAGCCTTCATTGTGTTGGAAGAATTTTGGATACTTCCAGACACTGTCCCGACCTGCAGAGTGCTTGTCTGCAGCAACAAGTTTGGAGGAGTCTCTGAAAGAATCTGTTGGATTGCAGGAGGAGGTTTGTTGAACAAATCTTCACCCATTGCCTAGTTTCACTACTTTGACGAACATATGTGTGTTTCAGGTTGAACGACTGCAGGCTATCGAAAAACTGCTTAATGAGCGAATCATGTGCTTGGAAGATCAGCTGCTTGAGGTGGAGGAGAAGCTTCAAGAAACAGAGGAGGAGTTTATTAGCGAAAGGCAGAAAGTGGAGGCATTGGAAGCTGAGAAACAACCCAGCTCGAGAGAAGTGGAACAAGCTGATGTCTCCATTCAGAGTGACATTGATGACAGCAGTCAGTTGTGTACTGCCTGCAAGACACGTGAGCAGCATGCTGAAAAGTCAAATGAAGACGAGTGGGGATCGGAAGCGGCGAGCAGCACTGCACAACACCTTAGAAGCGTCACTGAACTGTCTAAAGTGAAGGAAGAGCTGGAGAAAATTCGAAAGCAGTTGACAGAACAGAAGTTGAACCCAACTGAGCTGAGTGCTGTTGTGAAAGAATTCCAGGCACTGCAACAACTTTTGAGAGAAAAAGATGAGTTGTTTGCGGCCGGAGACAAGCCAGAACAGCAGTGGGGCTGGGATGATGCCCAACCTGAAGTCACTGTTGATACATCTGCTTTGCGAGACAGGCTTTCGGAAATGGAATCGATTGAGCGTCAACAGCAAGAGACGATACGAGCGCAGGAAAGCAGAATCAGATCACTGGAGGAAGAACTGAGTACTGCTGATGCCTGTCGAGAGGAGCTAGAGGACGCCACGGAGCAGGTCAACACGCTGCAAAAGGAGTTGAGAGAGGTTGGTAAAGTTCTCTGAAAAGATCTCTTCGATCATTTGTTTGGCCTAATATCCTGCTTATCATCCATATCCTTGAGCAAACGCCTCATCTATTGCTGTGGCGAGCCATTTGGTGCGCTTTGGACACCAAAGGATTCTTTTCTTTTCACTGTTTCGTAAGGAAGCCTGGCCACTGGGTTAGGGGCTGCCCTGGTCTTATCTCCCCGTTTGGAAACGTGAAGAACGTTCAGTCAACAACTGACCTGGTCAAAGACCATGACGAAATCAAGTGACTTGTTTTTCTTTCTGGCTTTCATGGCTTTCAAATAACGTTTTCGATTAGCTGATGTTCGAGGCACCATCTCTGATCTTCCTTTTTTGGGCTGGACTCGGTGTTTCTGAATACTCCCTGCTCCTGATCGTGAAAATCCAGGTGTTGCCTTTTGGAAGGAGACGTCGAATAGCCCAATGATTGCATGCTCATTCTAGCTGTTGGGGTGTGTTTCAAGGTAAGAAGGTCAGCAAAATCGAAAAGATGGGTGCAAGGTTGAAGTTCTTTATCGTCTTCTCTATTCGCTGGATCTTCTGATAATGATGATTACCACAGGTTCGCTTCTTTACGTTCAGCATTGAGGCTTGGCGTCATCCCTGCTGGCTCTTCGACCTTGTGACCTTGAACATTTGGAGATTTCCTTTCGTACAGTTTGAAAGCAACAGCATCGGAAATGAGCCTGTTCCTCACGAATACCGTCTTTATTGAATTCAACTGAACCTTTACCTTAGTTTAAGAACTAGTAAATTCGCCCAGCATCCCTGCCGTCAGGTCAATGTTCAATATGAAGAACAACGGGCTTGCGTACAGTTCATGATATTCTACACTGGTGCATGAGTTCAGAAATATTCTGAGAAAAAAGGGTTTCTGGTGACTTGAACCTCACGCTATCGTGAAGGTGTTCGACAAGCCGACCATAATCTATGTATATGTTATTGATAGCGAAATCGCTCGCTAAATGGGAAAAAGGAACCTGAAGCGAACAGGCTTGGCCCGTAATAAGTAGGAAATTTGGTTACAGATTTCTTCCAAGCGGTCCTATCTAGCGCTCCTGTATGTTCGCGGAACCAGTATATTCTTAGTAATTTGCCAAGATGGGGAAGAAGTTTATTCCAGAATGTTGGCCATGCTATCTGGGAGTGTAGTTAGCTTTGATTACCCGGCAGAATAGTCGCAATGTTATCCTGGAGTGGGTGACTGGCTAACTTATTGGAGATGATTTTGTCCGTATCTCACCGGATGCTCGATTGCAAGGTTTTAGCTGGATCAAAGTGCATTTGGGTCACTGGAAAGCATCATCGTCCCGGGAAGCTTAACACACAAGCATGCTTGAGTGCACTAGCTAAAAGGAAAATAGAACAGGGAATCCATCCTCTGAATGCCCACGTGCTTCTCTAGGCAAGTATCTTTAGCTTTTGATGGCGATTTACCGTCTACTAGTCACCTATTGTCGGGTCGCGAAGCCTCCTTACCCACCGGTTAAGGATTTTTCACGGTCAGCAAAGGATATGTGTAAATACCTACGATGATCTATAGCTGACAATTACACTCACTCCCAATCATAACGCTTATGGCTGACTTCTCCATCTTCAAGATCTCGCTACTGTATCCATACTGAACATTTGCGGTTAGGGGATCAGAGAGTTGAACCCATTTACGAATGTCACCGTTCCCGCTTCTCGAGAGGTTAAAATTGACAGGAGCTGCTGGTTTACATTGCATTTATTGGCTACTTTTGACGAATGATTGTAAGACATTTCAGATGAAGAAACAAGCCCAAGTGTATAGTGAAGAACAACAACGTCTGGTGAACAGAGTTTCTGAGTTGGAAGCGAAAACTGAAAACGCATGGGGTGACGAATGGGATAGCGCAGATGGCGGAACTGATGAAGGAAAGGAGGAGTTGGAGCAGTCAAGATTGGATGTGGGCAATATTCATTTTCCTAGGAAGTGACGCGGCTTGCGTTTACTAATAGTTGCATCTCATTCCTTAGAACATTCGCATACAGGCTCATCAACGTATTGCCGAGTTGGAGCTGCAGATCGAGCAGAAGGTATGTGCTCTGGTGGATGCTGAAAAGGAATTGGCGATGTTGCGAGAACGTCTTCAGGCAGTTGGTCCTGAGAGATCTGATTTACAAGTGCTGTTTGAATTGTTTATCCTTTTCGAGTGTGTGAAGGATTCATTGTAGTAATGGGTTTTCATCAGTAGTCGACGCGCTGAATGCAGTGTGGGGTGGAACTTAATTCGTACTTCCTTAAGTTTTCTTAAGGATAATTATAATTATGTTGCTGTCGCTTTCTTGCCGTCCTACTAATTATAATGAGATAATTATAAGGAGTGCAGTCTGCTGCTAAACAATCCTAAGTCAGTAGTGGACTCCGCCTCTGTAGTTCCGATGTCCTATTTTGTGGTTTTTACTATAGATCACAAAGAATATTTCTGCCGCAACTTTCTGTGTGCTCCCAAATCCGAATCAGTAAATGGGAGCTCTGCTGCAGCTCTGTTTGCTTCCGCCCAAGATCGAAAGAGCAATTCATAATGATTTGTCGCTTCTTACTTGGGATGTGATGATTCATTTACTCTTTTACAAAATTAACGCGGAAATTGCAGAAAAATTCTGATCTACCAGCTTCTGATGAGCAGGCGTCCAGAAATGTAAGTTTATAGTTTGTTTCTGGTAGTGTAAATGCTAGGGAGAGTAAAATTAGGAAGGGTCACATCCAGATAGAGAGTGCGTTGGAAGAAGAACGTCAACGAAGGGAAGAGGCGGAGGCACTTGCAGAAAATTTACGACAGGTTGCTGCAACGTTGAGAAGTCAAGTGAGTATCTTTTTCTGACCCGCAAGTTTTTCGCAGATGGTTGTCACGTAATTTCTTTAATACATATAATCGGCAGAGCGTGCATTTACGTCTCTATATCTGTTTATACTTCGGGTAGTCTCCGTTACAATAGACAAACAGCGAGCTCGTAATGGAGCGCTGGTTCCAATTAATAGTATAGGGTATAAGTCTAGGAGTGAGCGGTATATGTCAAGAAGTCAATAACACTCGATAAAGACTCGAAAAGTACCGGAAAGGACCACCTGTGAAGCTGTCGGGTCCCCGGAAGTCACTGTAGAAAACTCTCGTTTCCCGTGGTTGACAAAGCTAAAATTCCACAGGGGCTGATATCGATATTGCCAGAACTCCCACCGTGGCATTTCATTGTTTCCCAAAGGTGACCGTTACAAGTGAAATATATACTGCTCGCTCATCAAGAAACTCCCACCCCCACGAGAAGTCAACCGGTTCCAGAATTCCCATTTGTCTATCTCAGCAGAAGAAGTTTCGCCCCAAAGGTGGAGTAGCAGACTGAAAGTCGCACCGCTTGCTGAGACGCATAGCGCAAATCATGCGTCAACTGTGTGCCGTTTTCTACTGAAAAAGAACTAATTTTCAGGTTGATGATCTCCAAGAGAAGCTTCTCAACGGAATGGAATCTGCTGAAAAGCAGCTTATTCAGCTCAATGAACTGAATTCTGAGAATGAGCGTCTTCGGAAAACTATAGCTTCGCGAACAGAACTGGTGGAAGCCGAGCATCAACGGAGCGAGTCGGAACTTGAGACCTTGTGCGAGGAGCGCCGAAGAATTCAAAACGAGCTCTCTAGCGCGGAAAACGAGAAGATCCGTCTGGAAGAGCAACTGATGGCGTGTGAGATGAAATGCGACGATCTGAAGATCGAATTGCAGCTGCAGAAAGCAAACAATACGGAACTCACGGGCTTGCACGAGGAAGCCAAGAAACGTTGCGAGGACGCCCAGATAGCGCTTAAGGTATGTAGTTGATCTGTTGCGAGGCAGAGCGATGCATTCATGGCTTTCATATTGGTCTCACTTCTTCAACTTCAGGCTGTTGAGGCAGAAAATTCTGCATTACTTGAACGCTTAAGAAAAGCAGAGGCCGAACTGAATAAGTTGCAGTGTCAGCTGCAAGAGACGCTATCGCATTGTGAGGTAGGTTGCCTAATTGTTAGATGAAGTATTCGTCGCGGGTACTCCCATCTGAGCATCCTTTTTATGTTCACTCAATTAAGTTTCTTTGGTTAGACACAGCCACAAGACTTCTTTCGCCTTCGCAGTACGTAGCTGGTCAGCTTTTCCCACAGTTGTTGCGCTAGTTCTTAATCTCACTCTTCCACTCGCTTTAACATTGGCTTTAGTTTACTACAGCCATGTGGTTTGAGTTCATATACAAGAGAATGACTTTAAGACATTAATGGGTGGTAAACTGTCAGCAGAGGGTCAGAGTAGTGTCATCAGAGGGGCACACCGATCCTTCCTCTGATTTACCCTGTAGATAGAACAGCAATGGTTCGCATAACTGCGAATTTCCAGCAAAAGGGACTTAGTTCCGACGACGAGGTCCACGGAAATGCTTCTCAGTGGGAGCGGCTAGAGAAGATACTCAGTGAAGTACGACGAGAACTTGAAGAGAAGGAATTGCAAAACTCCCTGCTGAAGGATAGCGAGGCTCGACTTCTCGACTCAGTCGATGAGTACGGTCTCCAAGCTGAGAAGTTAGTTGAACTATATGCTATAATTCCTGATATCCTGGAATGGGAAGTCCTTTCCAAAAATTTTCCAGCTCATTAAAAACTTGGTTTAGCTATCAAAAGGAAGCTGAGCGATTACAAAACGTTGTCGATCAGTTGGAAAGGGAGAGATTGGAACTTGAGGAAGAAGTTGAGAAGATGCGAAACAGCCATGATCGTCTTGGAGAGGCAGAGAACAAAGTGAGGGTGATGGAGAGGGAACGAAAAGAACTCGAGGAACGCTTGAAACATCAGAGGTAGGAAGTGTCTGCAATTACTTAATTCTATGCTTTAAAACATGCGAACCTTTGAGTTTCAGTACCTCGACGGCATCTTCCTCCATTCACGATACTGAAGAAATGTCCAAACTTGTGAGTTCCCATTCCTTCGTAATTTCCCCGGATGATTTGATAATACATTTAATAACCTTTATATGATTTCTGGTAGTTGCATCTGCCTTTCAGAGCAATCAACTGAACATGCTGACGGCTGAAAGGAATGAGCTGCGCACTCGACTTCAGGACGCGGAATCCCGTCTGCAAGTCTCAGCCCAGGTAAACGCCAATTTCACCTAACACATTTTAATTGAATGAAATAAAACCGTGTAGGTGTTGCCCTTGATATCTAACCTCTTTTGCGGATGCTATTGTGAGAACAGTCACTTGGGAGGTCAGATACTGATTCTTCGTTTGTGCAGGAGAAAGTTGCCATCACCCGCTCGTATGAACAGCTCCGAGCTCGTCTGGCAGCTCGCCGTCAAAAGTTGACTTCTTCTGGTGAAACGACATCGCGACCTCCGTCAGCAGCTATCTCGGAACAAGATGTATCGGAAGGTTCCAGGCGAGTAGAAGAATCTGTGCCGCCATCCCCGAGTGCTTATGTTTCGCAGCAGGTTAGCTTTCCAAATTTTTATTTCTTCACTTGGAAAGCACTGCACTTCGTCGACTTCTTAGTTCCAGAATTGACCGCATTCAATTGAGTCACTTAAGCTTAGGGGCTGTTTCAAATTACATCAGTATTTTCTCCTCGGATAGAGCGCTTCATTCTTCATTCCATTATTAGGGTCGTTCTGGTTGAATTATAATTCTTGTTATGTGTGGTCATTCACTAAAAACCCCTCACGTTGCAGCTGAGCTATGTTAAGCACTGTAAGGGAATGTATTGTATCCGAATATAAACTGTATTAATGTTGATACGGGAGGGAGGTGATTTTGGCGTACTTCCGAACCTTGGCTAACTAATTCGCGACAGTCCGCATGATTTGGGCAAGCTTTTGGTCGCCGATGTATAGTTTGGGCTCACGCCAGCCTCCTCGTCATTTCATAAATTAAAAAAGATTTGTATTAAATGCTTCAATGAATGCATGTCCAGGAACCATGAGTGATTTACCTCTGTATTGAGCATAGTCAGCACTGAAAAGATGCCAAGTTGATTAGTGAACAGGAGACGATGGAGAAGCGAGCATTTCTAGAGGAACTTTCGTTTTGTGAAATATTGACATCTCATATTCCCTCAGAGAATTCGTTCAGAAAAAGTGATGATGAGGTGATAGGGTTGGCTGCATAGATAAAGAGCAATCGCTCCCCAAACAGACTCTCTTGTCGCAACATCAAATCCTTTTGCGTTTTTGGCAGTAAAATGATTGTTCTGAATAGTGCAGGAAAGAGAGGGAGGGTGTTGGGAATCTGTTTTCGCCACAGGCAGAATTGAAGCCACCTGTTGCATTTGTCGGTTACTCTTTCCGGAGAAGAGGCTCAGTTGCGTACTCGTTTGAATTTGCGATGTGATGGAATGACTTTTCACCTAGGTAGGCATGTCGGGTCTCCCTACATCAGGTTTCCTGGAAATACTTTTTAATTCGATGAAGTGTAGTGTGTTTCATGGTCATGGACCGGACATGCCTGACTAAGTGAAATGTGATTGCAGGCGGCCGATAAAGATGTGATTCGACGGCGTCCAGGACACCATTAGCGGCTCGAAACTGGTCGGTCGCTGTTCCACTCCGGCGCTATTGCTCAGTCTCCACCCCTGTGGCACCCTGACCATAAACAGCGAATTACACTGGTCATTCAATCTAATTGGAAGTGTTTTATTAGTATTTATTGTCATCATTTCATGAATCCAAAGAAGGACATCCATCGATGCCGAACATGGGTATTTGGTAGCTATGTTGTATATTTTGTTTTGGTGGGTATATCGATTATATTGAGATGGAAATGATAATTCAAATGCTATCGAACTTCAATCTGGCGACTAGGAAATAAAATTTCTGCTGATTCTGCTCGTTGTTCTGAGGAAGTCAATGAAGTCCTGAAGCCGTCAAGCCCTTGAACTAAGGATGGCGTCGTTTTATTAAGGATTAAATTTCAAATATGTTGTATTGGTCGTTTTGATCAAAACAACAAGCACAAGCACAAGGTTCAAGCAAATCTCAGTTACAATTTGCTCCAGCCATGTGAGCCATCCTACTACATTCCCCGTTACCATCAGATATAGAGAAAGGTAAAGAGGGTTGATGGAATCAAGAAATACGATCGTAAAAGTAAGAATTTATGCTTATTTGCTTTTTTAGAATTTTGCCCTTTTGTCATTCCAAATTCGAAAAACTCATATGAACAGTTATTGGATAAGCATGGCTTAGCCTGCAGTTTGATTAATATCTTGGGGCTTAATGCCAGTCTCGGTGGCCAATGAATGAGGCCATCCTCCTCTCGCTATGAGAATCCATCGCGTCTGATGAGCAGTCGAACTGGTACCAGACTATTCTGAGTAGATAGAAGCACTGACTTGTACATCGGCCTGCCACCGCAAGTCGTTGTATAAGTCACATACGCATTCAAAACGTGGCTACGAAATAGGAATAAATTTTCAATGTAAGTCGAATGCGTGGGCGCATCCTTCGGACGGTATTGATTAACGTCTCGAGACTTTATCCTTGATCCTTTTCAGATCACCGAAATGAATTACTAATTACTACTAGTTCATCTAGCCTTCATATGAGTTTTTTTTCGGATTTTCTGTCATGAAGCAATTGCAAGATTAACCACTCTTTTCGTTGGGTGACATCTCTAATCCGGATTTCGCTCCCTGCAGCTAAGTCGGTCTACACATTTCTTGATCGTGATAGGTTAGTACCCTCTAAATTTACTTTTTGATATTAGTCCACTATTAGTCGGCGGTCTAGATATTAGAGTCTAGGGATCGTGAAAAAAAAACTATTGAAAAAGCTGGTCGACAGTCGGTATACCAGACCTTTTCAAATAAATGCACCGCTGTCTGCCATGGAGGTTAATTCCGCCCTTGTAGGAGCTAGCCTGAGAGGCTCATCTGTGGGCAGAGGAGGTGACACAAGCCTAGCCTTTGCGTAGGGAAGTCTTGCAGTTCGTTATTATCTGAATCAGGCACTTTTTAAAGGAGACTGTTGTTGCATCTGTCGAACATGCAGTAGACAACCGTTAAAGCCGACTGGCTCCGCCATAGCATGTAGCAATTTCGTTCTGCGTGCGATACCAACTCTTCTACTTGTCTATGAATGCCTTAGCTTGCTTTGCGGCCAACCAGTCGGTCCAAATCTTTTTCCAATCGTCACGTGCTGGTGTAATGCGAGGCTCATTCACAACAGTGCGACTGCTGCTTGCCTCCACCTTCAGCTTCCACTACAAGGTTACTCCTCTTCACTGCCAAAATCCATTTCTTTTCAAAAATGAGTCAGGTTTTACTTAAGGGCACAGTTCACGATAAAAATTACTTTTGAGATATGTCACTAGAATGAATTTGTAGAACCCCGTACGCCGTCTGTGTCGGTGTCATACCTGAAAACGATCCAGATAGGGCGTTCTAAAAGCTCAAGAATGTACCGTGTGTATCCTCGGACAAATTTCAACGGCATTTTAGAGGCCGTACCTAATGGCAAGGAAGTCAATTCAGGGAGATAAAACAACTTGTCACGACCCATCCTGACAGTGGGAGGTAATTTTGTATAGTTCTGGTTTGATGTAGTCAGTTCTTTGTGCAATTGCAACAACTGAAATCTCGTCCGAATACCGCTACCATGTTATTTCCATTATGGTATTCTCGTCCAACCTCCATTTTCCCTACCTTTGAGGAGCCCGATTCTTCTCAAAAACGGCAAATTTTTTTTTGCTTTTTTTCACTACCGATGAACTAATCCCACCCTTCACTTCCGATATTCGACTTAAAATGGGTACCTCAAAATTATCGTGGACTGTACCTTTAACTCTTTTGTTCCACAAGATAACCTTAGATCATAAAGTTATGCCTAGTGTTGGCTTCATTCAAATATAATAGTTCGCATTCCTTTTTTCTTTCATACTGTGAGACTGTTGCATTTGATACTTTATATTAGCGAAAGTACTTTGTAAAATTCATGTGCAATAGACGGGAGCGAAACATTTACTGCTGGTGTATTTATGCACACTGCGGTGTGTTCAGCAAGTTTTACCTGTCGTTATCCAACAGTTCTAGTTCTATCCAACATTATTGTAAAAATTTTGAAAATTTTAACGACTCCTATGACACATGATTTCAGGAGGCCTCGATTGGACATCACAACTACCGTGAAGCTGTTTTTGCATTCATAGACGATGTTCAGCGCTTTCTTGACGAACAAGATGAGATCTTCGATGTCTTGACTGCAGCTATTGGTGAGCAGCCAAGTCTCAAGAAGTACAGAAGCCAACTAAGCTCATCGAGCACTGAACTTTTATTAGCCTGACTTCTGTCGTAGGGCACGAGAGAAATAAATATCGGGTATGAAAATACAGGTATTGCACACTTATCGAAGTGTTGTATCTGCTTCTACTGAGACGCAATGTTAAAGGCACCATTCACGACTAAAAGTTATTGAGATCTTACCTTATTAATACTCAGCGGCCCCCATGGGTTGTTGAAGGGACCCTCTCACTCCCACAATCTCGACGTCCAGGGCGTAGTGGCAGCTCCGTTGTTGACGTAGTTCGCATCTCCGCCCCTCGACTGATGTCACGTCAGACGAGTGTCGAGACGACACAGCGTCATGTAATCGCGTCAGGACCCACCCTGAACTGCAATTTGGCAAATTGCCAGAGACGCAATGTGTTGTCTGCTATTGCAGACAACACACTGCGTCTCTGGTCTGGCAACTTGCCAATTTGGCCGAACACCCCCTAACCACCGTTATTTCAATGTGAAACTCGTCCAACCCCCTTTCCAGCACTTTTTTTGACCCTTTGTAATTCTTTTTGTTTGTCTTTTTTTGCGGTTTTTTCGCTGTTATCGCTTTATTCTAGAGTAGTTCTATCAATTCCCGTCAAAAAAGGGTAAACTACATTTTTTGCTAGCGGTGCC